GCATTTAGCATTACGTAATATTAACTTAAGCAATTAGCATAAATAATGATGCTTGATATAGCTGTACTGAGTGCATACAGGTGATGACAAGAAACTGTTAATTTAGATTCCATGGAATTACTAATAAAGGAAGTTATTAACACAGTTTTGGAGAGGAAAAACTACCACCATATATTTTAGAGAATCTGTTTGATTCTATAAAGTAAAGATCTGTTCCAAATAATGGGGTTGGAAATCTTAAAGCTAATGTTGGTTACTACCAAGTGTCACTTTCTTAATTGTTGTGGCTTGTTGGTGTGTACTGACAAAAAGTCATGATATTTTATCAAAAAACACCTTAGGTGTGAAAAAAAAGGTAAGGCCAAAAAAAAAGATTGAGCATGCAAGTTAAAGGAATGAAATCAAAATTGGCAGCCAAACTGGTAGCTACACTTATAGCACTGATAAGAATTTTACAGCAGTTTTAGTTAGCTAGGCCACATATTTTGTTTTACCCACCACAATGCCCCAAGTTGAACAAAAAAATGCATCTGGGCTAACTGATGAATGAACATTTGCTGTAAAATTCTTATCAGTGCTATAAGTGTAGATATCAGTTTGTCCACCAGTTTTGATTTCCTCCATTTAAGTTACACACTGTATCCTTTTTTGAAAGCATCTTTTATCACACCTAAGGTGTATTTAAGTAGACACAGTACTTACAATACCAAGCATTTTTTGGGTCATAATTCATCTAGTTCTACTTCAGGATCAAAATGCTTACAATGAAAAACACTTATTGGATCTTACCTCATCCAGTCCTGCTTCTGGTCCTTTGGTGGATATAGTGCCAGCTACTTGTTGGACCTTAGCAATGGTAGCTTTATGAACTTGGTAGGCATGCTCAGCTTGGAGTGAGTTATACTCAGTATGTGCCTGAACAATTCTATTTCCAATGTTTTTTCCTGTAAAAATATTAAATTAAAAACTTATTGAAATTTACTTGAGAGTGAACTTAATGTAAAGGACTTCACCTTTTTTTTTTTCCAAATACCTTAAACACTTTGGAAGTTGCAAAACTCAACAAGATATACAGGTCCAAATGCTGGATTACACTTTGTGAGGAGGGGAAAACCAGCTCTTTATATTTTGTCTAAACAGGTTTTCATGTTTCATGTCTAAATGCAAAAGTAACTTGATATTTATTTATTACTGCTTTACCCACCCTTTATTCTGAATAAGTCTAACTGAACAGTTTGTATGTGTTCAAGAACCTTCTCATAAGCCCTTTTGGCTCCAGTGAGGCTGTAGCATTGGTTCAAATAAACAATTTCCTTATACACAGTAACATGATGTGTTTAAATTTTTACTAAAAACAAAATTCTTCAATTTACTCTGCAATTTTTAAACTTTCTAAAGGTACACAAGGCCTTGAAACATGACTCTGAATATTCACATCTGCACAGAATACTAACTATCAAATCAAAAAGCTTACTCATTTTAGGATTGGGAAGTTAGCAATCTGGAAAGCTGCTGTAGAAGACAAAGTTATGGTATAATTCCACCTTCTCAACTTTAAAGGTTGTACTTCTTATGAAAGATAAAACAAGGAAAGTCTGAATGTTCAAGATTAAAAGGTAAGCCTAATGTAATTAAGTGTAAGGATTTGGTACTTCAAACCAAATGTTTTCAATGACTGAAAGAGCATACACTTCCTATGTTATTTAAGGGTTAGTATTATATTGTGAAACTCATATTTATTGGATTACAAAAGATATGCTAAATTTGAAAAATAATTCTAAAAAAGTCATTCTGAATTTACTTTTACAGGAAGAAACAACCATGACTAACTTCTGGAAAAAAAATCACAAAAATCTTGTTTACCTATACTTTTTTCTTCTAGAAGCACATCATCTCCAGACTGACTACTGGCTACTGTCATGGTAGTTACATCCTTCTTCCATGTTTGTTCAGTGTCCCATTTTTCTATTTCTTGTTCAAATAATCTGTTGTCCTGTTCAACGTAGCGCTTCAGATCATCAGGAAGTATATTAAGATTAGCTGGAGAATAACTCAGGACCTTCTCCTTATCTGATTGGTCCAGAAAAATTGTTTGGAATGAATATTTACACTCAGAGTAATTAAATATCTTTAAAAAATTCTAAAATAAGAACTAAAATTTATTTCTGTTGTTCTTTAAAACATTTTGGAGTACAACTGTATCCACTGAACAGGATACCCTATTATAACTTATAGTCTAAAATCATGAATAGATTATAAAGAAATTGCCATGTTTTGGTGGCAACTTTGAACAACATGAAACATGTTAGACCAAATACTCATTACTAAACTTCCATGAGTTTAGGGTTCTATCTCATGCTTTAAAAAATGTAATGAAACTCTCAAAATATTATTGTAGAGTTGAGGAAACGGCTTCCCAAAGCAAGGCTATTTTGCTCGGGGCTATTACATTTTGACCTTGATTTATGCTCTAAGAATGGTTTTTAACATGTTATAGTATTTGAAACAAACTACACACTTAGTAGAAACAGCAATAAATGTTCTTTGACTGTTTCATACAACTTTCATTGGTAGAAGTCTGATCAATCATATCTAAGTATGTCAATCACTGAACAATAAAAGCGATTATAACAAAACAAACAAAGTGCTTTTTTTCTCACTATTCCTTTTGATTCTCAGTGTTCATCTATTGATTGAATTTAACATTTTTGGATGACCTCTCTTTCTGATTGCGTTAACATCAACAGGGACTCCATCATGACTGAATCCACAACATTTGCATTTCATGCCAACACCACATCTTCCAACTAAGCAGTTGTAACTAATACTAGGATATGCATGACTTTTGGACATTTTCCCAGTGTATATTGACTAGTTTACCACTGAAATCAGGTCTTTTACACATAAATTACTTTGCAAAAGGCAATGGATTTCACCAAAACCTTGACACAAATAGCAAGAACTCATATTTCAAAGATTTTTCTTCAAGACTTGAACTGACCAAAACAAAATTTGTATTACTGAAAGGCTCTAAAACCAATGTATTGCTGAAAGGCAATTTTTGAGACTTCTATCATTTGCCAGATATTGTGATGGTCAAAATGGTCACCAATATCTGTACAATTGACTCACAATTTTAGGGCTAAATAAATATTACAAAAGCGGGTCCAAATTTTACTTAATTCAACTTTCCTAAATTAATGTAACATTTTTAAAAATATCTACATTATAAAAGAAGTTAACACCAGTATTAAATCAATGTGCAGAAGGTTGGTCTACTGGACCAAACCCGTATTAAAGAATTGATAATTATAAATCCGAATTTATTATGTGTTTCTCCTTGAAATTTGATAAGCTTTTAGTACACATTATATGAAGTTCATTGTACACAAACAAAATTAGAATTTTTAATAAAGTATTTTTGCTAAAGATATGTATGAATTTTCTGAGTCAGTTTGTCTTCGTGCAAGGTGATTTTCATGCTAAGTATGAAGATACTTTCTTTCATGTTAAGGTGTTCATATTTCATTTTTATAATCTCTAGAACCTCTGAAGTAAAACTTTATATTTTATCAACTTAACACTAACTGTAAGAAAATCATCAATGTAAGTTAAAAAGTGAAGTTGAAAAATACGAAATAAATCTAAATTACCCCTTTTTTCTTTGTAGAATGACTTCATATTGTAACAGATAATTAACATTTATTGTTACGGCCAATGCTAACGACCTTCCACTCAGTTTTTATTTAGTTTCATTGTTTGACAAGTGCACTTAGACCCTCTCAGAGTATACAAGCCATTTCTCACAACAGAAAAGTTTTGTCTAAATAATAAATTGAGTTACAAGCATGCACAGTTGAAATATACAGCCGCGTCTTGTGATGTGCTCATGGTATCACAAGTTATTTTTCTTAACCTAACAATTTTACACTTAAGTTACTTTTATAATGATAAATAAAAAATATACATATAAAAATAAAAAATTTAGTATTTACGTCTGAGCTTATCTTTTTTTCTCATTCGTAAAGACAAAGTACGTAAAGTACCATAATCCTATTTTTTTGTAACAATGTTGGCGTTCAACAAAAAATTTATTTCATATGTGCAAGTTAGAGCACAAAATATTATCACTCAAAAAATTAAATGTCCTTGTTAGATATGCATGAATGTTTAAGTTAATGTAAGTGTTATGATTTTGATGGTTTAAGTATAGTGTGAGTGTTAAATTTAGTTATTTTTAGAATCAAAGGTATATTGCAGGTTCAAATCATGTGTTGTGCAGTTCAATTGTTGTAAACTGGCACTTGTATTATTGCATCATGATATCGGAACCTTCTAAATTTCTCTCATTGTTTTGATTGAGTATTACTGCATTATAATATCTTGTAGTGTGTAGAAGATACTAGGCCTCTGTCAGTCTATAAACACATATACAAAATGTTGTTCAAATGAGATAGATAGTTAGATCTAGACTGTGTGATTGGGTTTAGCCATAAAGAGCATATAGTGGTGATTTCTAAAGTGATTTTGTCACTAGAGA